GTTGTGTTAAATTACATATTACATATTACTTTGCTTACTTACTCACTTCTTGCCCTCTAAACTAAAATGTAAGCTTCATGAGGACAGAAAACTTGCCATCACTGTAAAATCTCTGGCGCTCAGGACAGTGTCTGGCACAAGGCAGGAATTTAGTAAAAATTTTTTTAAAAGAGTTAGTACATATTGCTTTATTATTTTTGACACTGATCATTGCAAAGCTAGGCTGATTACGTTGAAAGCAACTAACATACAGCTATTCATTTTTAATGCAGTATAATATCCTATTATGTCAATATGCCATAATTTAATTTTCCATCCTCCATCAAAAATCACGGGCTATTTCCAAGGTTTTTTTCACCATTATGAATCCTATTGGTGTGAATATTCTTGTATGCATCTTCTAGTACATGTGCAAGTTTCTCTACTATGTACAACTAAAACTGGAGATGCTGAGTCAGAAAGTATGCACAAATCGACTTCACAACATAAAATTAAATTGTTTTCCAAAGTGGTTGGACCAATAAATATTCCTCAGTAATATATAAGAGTTTCTGTTGATCCATATCCTTTTCAATATATGACACTTTCAAATCTCTTAAGGTTTTGGCAGTCGCATAGTGACCTTAATTTGCATTTTCTAGATGACTTATAAGGTTGAGCATCTTTTCATACATTTATAGGACTTATGTATTTTTTTACATGAAATGGCTGTTCACATCTTTTGGCTCATTTTTCTACTGAGTCATTTATCTTTTTCTTATTAAATCATTCTGTATACTAAAGCTTTAATGGTTCTCTGTGTGGCAAGCATCTCCTAGTACAGAAGTACTTGATTTTAATGTACTCAAACTTATCAATCTTATCTTGTTTTAGCTGTCTGCCTTTTTTTTTTTTTTTTTTTTTTGAGATATAGTCTTGCTCTGTGGCCCAGGTTTAAGTGCACTGGTGCAATCATAGCTCACTGTAACCTTAAACTTATGGCTTTAAGTGATCCTCCTGTTTCAGCCTTCCAAGTAGCTAGGACTACAGATGTGCACTACCACACTTGGCTAATTTTTATTTTTATTTTTTTTTGGAGAGACAGGGTCTTGCTGTATTGCCCAAGCTGGTGATGCACTCTTGGCTTCAAGCTATCTTCCTCACCTCAGCCTCCCAAAGTGCTGGGATTACAGGTGAGAGCTACTGTGTCTGGCATGTCTGTTCCTATATGTACATTTAAAAGACCAGAAACGAAAAGAAAACATAATTAAACACACACATTTATAGCATCAGGAAAAAGTGTGAGATACTCAAGGATACATCTAAAAATAGTTGTACAGAAAATTATAAAACATTTAAGAAAGTCTAAATAAATGGAGAAATAAGCCACATTCATGGATTAGAAGCCTCAATATTCTTCCTACACTAATCCAAAATATAATTCAAATCTAATCAAAATCCCAACACAGTTCACTGTGAATCCTGATGAACTAATACTGTTTGCCCCAATTTTTTTTATTGGAAACATTCAGAATTATAAGTTTAAGACAGACTAAAATATGTCTTAGAACCTAATATGTGACAAGCCTTATCTATTTCCAGCCTTAGGTCTTCCTTTTATTAAGATCTAGAAAATTTTCTTTCATTATACTTCAGAAAATTTTGAATTTTCTATCTACACCGTCTTTTCCTAGGATTCATGTTAGTCACAAGCTGACTCTAAAATACGCTTGATCTTTAATTATCATCTCTCCCTTTGTATTTGTCTCTAGTCATTTCCTCTGCTTTCTGGATCTGTTCTTCAAAGCCTGTCTTCCATTTGGCTAATTTATTTTCAGTAACATTAATTCTGCTTGTTATCTAGGACATATACTCTAGACTGACACCAGACATAAGGCAAAAATCACTGAACCAAAGTACAAGTATGATAATTCAACAAATGCCTCAAAAATTAAACTATAGTAGCATTAATAACATTCTAAGGATTTAGGACTATTAAATGCATCCTACTGTAATTATCTTTTTTTTTTTGAGTCGGAGTCTCACTCCATTGCCCAGACTGGAGGGCAGTGGCACACTTCTGGCCACCGCAGCCTCGACCGACCCGCTGGGCTCCAGCGATCCTTCCGCCTCAGCCTTCTAGGTAGCAGGAACTACAGGCGGGTACTACCATACCCGGCTAATTTTTGATTTATTGTAGAGATGAGGTCTCGTCAAGTTTCCTGGGTGGGTATCGAACCCGCGGGCTCAGGCAAGCCACTCGCCTTGGCCTCCCACAGTGCTGGGATTACAGACTGAGCCACCGAGCCTGGCCTGTAATTTATCTTTTTAAGGATCAAGATGTGAAGATAGTTTTATCTTTCTGCCAGAAATTCCAGTCTACACATAAAAGAAAAAACAAAACTGAAAAAACTTTGGTGGCTATATGCTCATGACAGTGTCACTAACCAAATATTTAATAATGGAAAGTAAATAATAGGAAGAAAATACCAATATGTGCCACAGTTAAGAGAGCAGACAGGTGCAGCAGCTCACTCCTGTAATCCCAGCACTTTGGGAGGCTAAGGCAGTAGGACTCCTGAGGCAACACAGCAAGACAATATCACCATTAAAAAAAAAATTAGCCTGGGCATGGTAGTTTGCAACTATAGCCCTAGCTACTCAGTAAGCTGAGAACTGAGGATCATTTGAACCCAGGAATTCAGATTATAATGAACTATGATTGCAACACTGTACTCCAGTCTGGACAACAAAGCAAAACCCTGTATCTAAAACTAAACAGATAAGCTGGGCTTGGTGGCTCGGCCTGTAATCCCGCGCCTTTGGGAGGCTGAGGTGAGTGGATTGCCTGAGCCCGCGGGTTCGAGACCTGCCTGGGCAGCAAGACCTCATCTCTACAATAAATCAAAAAATCAGCCGGGCATGGTAGCGCATGCCTGTAATTCCAGCTACTTGGAAGGCTGAGGCGGAAGGATCGCTGGAGCCCAGCAGGTCGAGGCTGCGGTGGGCCGGGAGCGGCCACTGAACTCCAGTCTGGGCAACAGAGTGAGACTCCAACTCAAAAAATAAAAAAAAATAAAAAATAAAACTAAACAGATATAATTTTTCTAAAAAAAAGAGAGAAGGCAATGGCAAGTTCTTTGACTAGAAAGCTAATGTTAACTTTTGATGGTTCAATGGAACTAACAATAAAATAAGAAGAATAAAAAGCACAATGAGCTAATTGCAATACTTTCATAAATAGAGGATAAGACTTGGTGCTTAAAACAAAAATAAACCAAAAAGACAGTACTTTTTGAACAACTTTTTCAGAAATTGTGTCTTTCAGTTTATGTCTCAGGGATGAAATTCATCAAAGGAAAATTGAAAAATTCTAGTCATGAAACAAAGTCTTAAGTTTGTTTTAAGCTATTTAGTTTTAAGTTATTTAGACACATAAAGGTCTCAGCTAATCCATCTTGACCATTTTAAATGTATAAAAACAAATTCGATCATCAATAACTCATAGTCATTTTCTGAACACTATCTTGTTCTCAATCCTACCCAATTGCCTCATTTAAGGCCAGGCCTGGGCAAACTTGTGAGGTTTGTCTTCAAGCTTACTTTTTTTTAATCTTATAGTAACTTTCTCTTTGTTCTATTCCACATATCTGGTAACAGCACAGTGACCTCACAGGACCACATTTCATTGCTCTTGCCTTCCCCACATATGTACTTCCATAAAAACTCATTGTCTAGAACATCTCTTGGGAGTTCTGTTCTTTGCTTATTTAAATAAAGGAGCACAACAACCAACAGAGAGAAAAGGCAACCCATGCAATGAAAGAAAGTTATTTGCAAATCATGTATCTATAAGGAGTGAACATCCAGAATACAGAAATAACTTTTACAACTCACCACCACTACCAACAACAAAATACAACCCAATTAAGAAATGGGCAAAGGGTTTAAATATAGTCACTGTTCCAAAGAAGACATACAAATGGCCAACAAACACATGAAAAGAAGCTCAACATCACTAGGGAAATACAAATAAAAACCACAATGAGATATTACCTCAAACCCATTAGGATGGCTACTATAGAAAAAACAGAAAACAAGTGTTTATGAGAAAAAAGATAAATTGGAACCCTTGTGCGTTGTTGGTGGGAATGTAAAACAGTGCAGGCCCTATGAAAATAGTATGATTTTTCCTCAAAATATTCAAATTAGAATTATCATATGAACCAGCAATTCCATCTACTTCTGGATATATACTCCAAAAAACTGAAGGCAAAGTTTTGATGAGATATTTGTATACATCTATATATAAAAGCATCATTCACAATAGCCAAAAAGTGAGAAAAACTCAGGTATTCACTAATAGATGAGTGGATAAACAAAATGTTGTGTGTGTGTCTACACATACACACATACAACTCAATGTAATTCAGTTTTATAAAGGAAGAAAATCCTGTCATATGCTAAATGTGAATGAACTTTGAGGATATTATGCTAAATGAAATAAGTCAGTTGCAAAATGACATGTACTGTATAATTCCATTTATATGCTGTACCTAGAGTAGTCAATTCATAGAGACAGAAGGTAGAATGGTGGTTGCCAGGGAATGCCGGGGTAGGGGTAGGGGAGTGGAAAGGAATAGAGAGTTATTATTTAGTGGGTATACAGATTCAGTTTTGAAAGATGAAAAGAGTTCTGAAGATGAATAGTAGTGATAGTTACAAAACAATGTACTTGATATTACTAAATTGTACACTTAAAATGGTTATTAAGATGGTACATTTTATGTTATGTGTACTTTATCACAATTAAAAAATTACAACGCCACAGAAATAACTCATTTCAAGTCTGGTTTTAATTCTTTTTTTTAACTTAAAATTAAGGGTAAAAAAAAATCAGAGGTTCTATCTAATTGTCAAAGTGGTTAGCAGAAACTCTGCATTTCCTTTCACTTCCTCCTCTCATCCCATAAAGGTGAGTAGACAGAGGAATGAATTTTAGTGTACCTCTTTCTACTTACTTGTTCTGTAAGTGAACAAGTTAGTTGTTCAAAAAGATGAATGCATTTTAGCTTTCTTTTTCTCTCCAAAATAACAACACTGGCAGTCATCTTAAATCTTATGTCTCAGAGGATACTATCGTCTATCATTAAAGACTTTAAAATTGTCTTCAGGGAGAGAAGACGCAACAGAGCACAATGTAAAGGATGGTTGGGTCAGGATGCAGTGTTCTCTTTCTCTAATGAGAAGACTATTTAGTTCTATTACCAATAATGTAAACAGTTCTGAAATCTACATTTCAGTGTCCTATGAGAAAAAAAAGCTGTACCAGCCATTTTGGAATGAACTGTCAATAAAAATGTCTCCATCTATTTTTTTCCATGTTCCTTCTGGATTGGTCAATGTTAGTTCATTCTTGCTCATTTAGTCAACTGTCTTGCTGATATGGAAAATCTTGTCTTCAAGATCTACATATATCTTACTTTCTTTTTTCTCTTTGTACATATGTTTCTGTTCCTTAACCTATCTCGAACTCTTTAAAGGTAAAATCTTATTAATTTTATAATGCTAAGTTTATCTTAGTGACCAAACAGAAGAGATACTCAATAAATACTTAATGGGATTATCATGGTGGAATATTAATGGTACCCAATACACACACCTCCACTTTTACAAGGAAATAACTCAAAATTTAAAAATGAAAGTTTCCATGATAGAAATTAAGAATATACTTGGAAGAACTGAAATTACTCTATAAAAAAGATACATGCACATGTATGCTTATCGCAGCATTGTTCACAGTAGCAAGAACACGGAACCAATCATCCTGCCCATCAAAAGGGGACTGGATTAAAAGAAAAAATGTGGTACATATACATGATGGAATATTATGCAGCCATAAAGAACAAAATCATGAAGTTCATAGCAACCTGGGTGGACTTAGAGTCTATAATATTGAGTGATCTTTCACAGAAACAAAAAACTGAGTATCGTATGTTCTCACTCACAAGTGGACCTTGAACAATTATTGTAATACTATAAGAAAATGATTGGCAGCAGCAGGAAACAGCCAGGAGGGGGGAGGGGAAGCAGGATTGGCAGTAGTGGGAATCTGCCTGGGGAAGAGGGGGCACACCTCATCAACAAGGGTATCTGCATAATGAACATTTGTATACCTAACCCTGAATTGTATCCCACATCTTTAAAACAAAAAAAAAACTTAAAAGGTTAAAAAAAAAGAATGTTGCTCAACACCTGATTACAAGCCAGGAGATATTTCTATGAATCATAAGTAAAATCTTGAGGGAGATAGTTAGCAAAAAATAAGAAAAGGGAAAAACTTCCCAGGAGTGGTTACAAAAAAAAAAAAAAAGCCAAAATATTAAGCTACATATATTTACATCTTAAAACAGAATAGAAAGGTTTTAAGTAAAAGGCTGGATAAAGATGTATAACCCGGCTGGACTCAGTAGCTCAGCCTGTAATCCCAGCACTTTGGGAGGCCGAGCCCATGGGTTCGAGACCAGTCTGGGCAACTTGAAGAGACCTCATCTCTACAACAAATCAAAAATTAACTGGATGTGGTAGTGTGTGCCTGTAGTTGCAGCTACTTGGAAGGCTGAGGCGGAAGGATTGCTGGAGTCCAGCAAGTCAACACTGGGGTGGCTGTGAGAGTGCCACTGCACTCTAACCTGGACAATGGAGTGAGACTCCAATTAAAAAAAAAAAAAAAAAAAGATGTATAAGCCAAATGTAAACAAAAATGAAAACAGGTTTTAAGACTAATATCAAACAAAGTGCTATAACTTATGAGCTAAAAAAGTATGAAGTAATACAAAGTGGATTGCTGTATTTTGACTTTATTCTGAAGTTATAAGTCATAAATATTTGTATCAAACAAAGTTCTGAAATTTATTAAATTAACACTCAAAAAAGGGAGACCAGTATGTAGATTTATATAATTCTTCATTTTGGAGAGAGGAGTGAGCAAAAGATAAACATTAAAGATTTGAAGAAATATAACCAAGTCTACATACAGAAACATACTAAATATTGAATCCTATAGAAACTTTCTTTTCAGAAATACAAAGAATACTTTTTTTTTTTTTTTTTTTTGAGTTGGAGTCTCACATTTCACTCTGTCGCCCAGACTGGAGTGCAGTGGCCGCTTCCAGCCACCGCAGCCTCGACCTGCTGGGCTCCAGTGATCCTTCTGCCTCAGCCTTTCAAGTGGCTGGAACTACAGGCATGTGCTACCACACCTGGCTAATTTTTGATTTATTGTAGAGATGAGGTCTCACCAAGTTGCCCAGGCGGGTCTTGAACCTGTGGGCTCAGGCAATCCAAAGAATACTTTTTAAAAGTTGATCACATAGTCAAAGAACACTCAATAAATTAAAAAAGTTAAAAAAGGATACATCATCTGACTACAAGGTAACTATATTTTAAAAAAATAAAGTATTATATAAAAACTCTTCAACCAGTTATAATTTCTAAAATTTTCTTCAAAGCATTTCTGGGGCCAAATAAATGAAAATCACAATTAAAATCTATTCTGAAATGATTATAAAATGCCAATTATCTAAAACTACACGATGATGTCAAATCTGACCTGTGAAAAACTCCTTGCTTGAAAATTTTTCATTTTCAAAAAATTTCAAAGAAATTAACTAAGAATGTACTTCATTAAGTTTGAAACAAAAGAAAAGAAAAATAAACTTGAGGAAAGGTAGTGAAGATGAAATCAGAAATGAATAATTTAGAGAAAAAAAGAATTTATTAACAAAAAAGGGGGAAACAAAAAACAAGAACTAGAATTTTTGGGAAAAAATACCATTAAAGCGGACACATCTTTAGCAAACCTAATTAAATACAAAAAGAAAAATGTATATATAATTAGTAATAAAAGCTATAATTTATTGAGTCTTAAAAATTATAATAGTCTAATTTTTACTCTATGGTAGATGTTTTAGAATGTACATGAAATAAACACTTTTCTGGGAAAATAAAAATGGCTAGAATTGATCCAAGAAAAATGAAACACGAATAAACCAATAATCATGAAATTAATTTAAAAGATATCCCGAAAGCCCTCAAAAAGTTTCCAAGTCTAAAGTGGTTTTAAGATGAGTTCTAAACTTTCAAGTCATTGGTAACTGCTTTCAATATATTAGCTATCTTAGAGCATCTAAAAATTAGAAAGCTCATCACATATTTTAGCAGCAAAGCCACGACAATAAAATCAAACAAAAGACTTACCTTAACTGATAGACTTAAGCAAGAAGAGACAATAAACAATAATAGGTAGAAACTTCAATTCTTTTAACTAATAGCTAGAACAGCCAGATAGAAAACCAAAAAGGAAGCAATGAACAATGCTATAAACTCTGATGTAACAAATATCTATAAAATACTACATCCAACAGCAGGATACACATTCTTCTCAAGTGCACATGGAACATTCTCCAGGATAGACCATATGCCAGGTTGTAAAACATGCTTCAATAAATTTAAAGAATGGGATCTCTGACCACAACAGAATCAAATTAGATAATCAATAATATAAAGAAATTTCTGGAAGTCACAAATATATAGAAATTAAACAGCATGCTCCTAAATTGCCACTGACAAATAATAAACACAAGGGAAATTTGAAAATACTTGTAGATGAATGAAACGCATACTAAAATTTATGGAATGCAGTGAAAGTAGTGCTTAGAAGGGAATTTATAGCAGGAAACACCTATATTAAAAAATAAGAAAAATCATAAATCAATAACCTTACCTTCTATCGTAAGAAACTAGATAAAGAAAATCTAAGTTACTTACTTACTTATTGATTGATTGATTGAGTTGGAGTCTCTATTGCCTAGGTCAGAATGCAGTGGCATGCTCAATGCCACTTCAGCCTTGACCTGCTGGGCTCACGTGATCGATCCTTCTACCTCAGCCTTCCAAGTAGCTGGAACCACAGGCATGAACCACCACATCCAGTTAATTTTTAAAATTTATTTATTGCATTGATGAGGTCTCGCTATGTTGTCCAGGGTAGTCTCAAACCCCAGGGCTCAGGCAATCCTCTCACCTCTGCCTCTCACAGTGCTGGAATTACAGGAGTGAGCTACTACACCTGGCTCAAAGTAACTTAAAACAAGTACAAGGAAGGAAATAATATAGATCAGAATGGAAATAAATAAAATAGAGAATAAAAAATATATGAAAGCAATGAAACTAAAAGTTAGTTTTTTTTAAAAAAAAATCAACAAGAGTAACTAACACACATTAAGCTAGACTGACCAAAAAAAAAAAAAAGAGAAAGAAGATTCAAATTACTAACATCGGGGATGAAAGAGGGAACATTACTATTGACCTTACAGAAATAAAAAAGAGTATAAAGGAATATGAACAGTTGTATGCCAAGAAATCAGATAACCTAGATGAAGTGAAGAAACTCCGAGAAAGGCACAAACTACTGAAACTGACTGAAAAAAAACCCCAGAAAATCTAAGTAGAATTATAACAAGTAGAGAGACTGAACTTGTAATACAAAAATCACAAGAAATTAAAAAACTACCCACAAAGAAAAGTTCAGGACTGGATGGCTTCACTGGTGAACTGTACCAAATATATAAGGAAAATTTAAGGCCAATCCTTCACAAACTCTTTTAGAAAACAGAAGAGAGAATATTCACCAACTCATTTTTTGAGGCCAGTATTACCCTATACCAAGACCAACAAAGACATCACAAGAAAAGAAGAATATAGACCTGTACCCTTTAAGAATATAGATAATCTTCAACAAAATAAAAATAAAACAAATCCAGCAAGACATATAAAAAGGATTACACACCATGACCAAAAGGCTTTATCCTAGATGTAAGAATGATTTAACATATGCAAATCAATAGAACAAAAGACAAAACCCACAAAATCATCTCAATAGATGTAGGAAGATATCTGACAAAAATCCAACACCTTTTCATGATTAAAAGAAAAAAAAAGTCGGGCTCGGTGGCTCAGCCTGTAATCCCATGCCTTTGGGAGGCTGAGGTGAGTGGATTGCCTGAGCCCACGGGTTCGAGACCCGCCTGGGCAGTGAGACCTCATCTCT